GACTTTTCCGCTCTCCCCGTTTTGCCCTTCTGCAGTAGCAATTGACCAGTGAGATCTGTTGCTTGACACATGGACATGGTGATTGGAATTGGACTTACCTTTCTGGACCAGGATGATTTTTCCTGTCCAAGTGTTTGAGGGTTGTTTAGCAGGCATGTACTCGGCATTGAGAGAGATTTCTGTTTGCATCGACAGGGGTATGATCGACGATGGTAGTTAGACAGGGCAACAAGCACGGGATATATCAGAACATTTCCATATATTCTGGGATATTCGGGACATGACCTAACGAAATATTTCTCTCCTTTCTGACATTTTCTTTGATGATGAGGACCCCCTCGCATGGATAGCGAACGCTGAGCAAATGCTGATACTCTCTTTCTATCCTATTGCCTGGGACCCTATCTCGGCTCTTGCTGAAAGTGAATCCCATTGTGCTTTACGCGGGGATGCTCCTTGCTTAGATCAACGTGTAATACATTGGAATTCAATAAATAAATAAATAAATAAATAAATAAATAAATAAATAAATAAATAAGTAAAAAATATATATTATATACATAAACGTAAATATAAATAAATATATATAGCAAGGAGCTGTGTATATGCACAAGCGGGTATATCCATGCCTTTGAGGGGTGTTGTGCCAGGAACTCCAGAATAAACAATGCTGATGGAGCAATAGTAGTTGTATTCAGCCGGGTGTCCCCATTGTAATTAGAGTACTTCATTCATGACTTATCATGTTTACTTATTCATTGGTCAAAATGTACGCGTCCTAATACCGCACGTACAATTCTGTGGGTGAGAGTGCCCCACAACAACTATGTTGAAACGGGACGCACAACGATACAGTTTTAACAGAAATACTTAAGCTATATCAGTATCTCTGAATCTGGTTGAGTACTGAAAGGTACCAAGTGTCGTTCCAGTCTTTTTGGATATGTGTTACATGGCCATGACACAATTGATGTACGTTTGTGCTCACGCTGCACTTTTCATTCAGGATTTTCAGAGACGTAACAGAACTTAATGGGAATCAAACTTACTGCAGACTGCTAGGCAAATGTCTGGTTTATGAAATCCTGTGCTTCATGTCGCTCATTTGCAAGATACCTTACCCTTTCGGTCTTGTCTGTCAGGCTTGGTACTTACGCCATAAGCACAAATATAATTTTTAGGGAAATGTGATTAGATCAAGTAGCATAAAGTACTGAATTTTTGTACTGTTCTCCGCAAAAGAGTGTTAAATCGCCTTCATGTTTCTGCACACAAAAATGCATAAAATATGTAAACGCAGCCACGCGTATATAAGAACAGTGCTTTCCGACTTGTCCGGGTAATGACAGCCAACGCGCTGGAATGGGTAAAAAACGAACTGTTGTTCTACACAATCGTTGTCCTTGCCGAGGGCGACCTGCACCCTTTGTTGCGGGTGCTGGAGATGGCGGAGGACTGATCATTGCACACGACTTTCATCGTAGAACCTGGATGTCTCAACGAACTAGAAAAACATAAAAACAACAGCAAAAATAGCCGCTTTCGCAAATTTGCGTTCTTGTGTGTGAAAAGATAAATGTAAATACCAAGCCCAATGTCCTTCATGGCGTCTTGCCAGTCCATGATCCGCCGACCTTTCTTGAGTATCTTGGCTGCGCACGATGCGGATAATACTTGGGCAAAGAAGAAGTTGGCGACCATGATTTTGAATTCCAAATATTCAAGAATGGGCTTACTAATGACCGCAATTCCTAACATAGATGGAAACGCCAGCAAGGGTTTAAGGCCAAAATATGGCGCACGAAATTTGTATTAATACTGCTTAGTACTTCTAATAGCAGTGTCATTTGTTATGGACATATTTTAAAGTGCTTAAGAAATGTTCATTGCGTTGTCGCATTGTTTTCCAGCATTCTCATATGCGGGAGTTCTTTCATGAAATGGCTCGATGATATTCGCACATGCCAACTTCTCATCCGGACCTGCTTTCTGCGCCAAGTCAGTGGCCACCTGCGGACGTCCCAATGCCACTCACAGGAAACATCGACAAATTCTTTCAATTTACAAATGAAAAGACAAGGTGCGCACTGCGGATGACGTCACATGGCATTCGATAATGTCTTACGCCACCAGCGATAGCCTCATCCGTGCGTGGCCAAAGGGCCGTCCAAAAAAACTCAATTCAGTGCCATGAGATCAACCAAGTTTCCGCCAAGGGATCCAGAGCGCGTGGTGCAGCCATACCTCTTTCGCCCCTCCACCCACGTTACGGCACATAGGCTGGTGTCCAGGACTTAAGCAGCAAGAGCTAAGTATGTAAGTGAGCATCTAAGTATCCAGTACTTACTCCTGCCCATTTTCCCAGGGATGAATTACTTCTGCCAGCCAATTTTATTGTCTCTTTCCTCGGCGCCCTTGGCGGCACCGGAGGTTATTCAAGTCTGCGATTAATGCGGGGCAACGCTGGTGGACGCCGGTCAACAGATTCGTCCGGGGCCGCGGGTCCAAAGCGACCGCATTAAGGACAAGGCACCGCACGGAGCGGGCGACAGGCCATATCGGGCGCCTTGAAGAAGCACCGGCTGATTAATTTATAATTATGGACGCCGCCCTTTGCTGACATGCTCGCCGTACAGACCCCATTGATGGCCTAATAGCGGGTCGAAGAATCTTCCCATTGAAAAATTCGCCTCCCGACTCATGTGAATCTTGCCATCGCAACGGGCGCATGCGAGAAGCAGATTGGGGGATTCATGTGAATCGCGCACTTGGGTGAAGTACCGTTGAGTCAAATGCCTCTTGTGGAGCAGTCGGAACGCCTGGGGAACCCCCACGCAACTGCGCCGATGCGCCCCCGTACAAGCAGGAATCAATGCCCATATTCTTCTCTATTGGAGCCTTCCAAAAATGGAGAACGTTACGATACTGGCGTGGGTGACGCCGATACCACCTCGATACTGTTGCTATCCTCGGTGATGCGGTAACGCCTTCCGGCCGACAGCCCTGTCCACACGTCCCGGGTGCCGGACGGCCACGCAACCTCAACCTGCCATGACAGCGGCACCATAGGCGTCCAGTATATTGAGAAAATAGCTGTAAATAAACGTGCTCAATTCTTGGAATTGCCCGGAGTTTGTGTGCAAATATTTAATGCAGAGTGGCAGTAAGGCACCCGCCCTGCCCTGTGGCCTTGTCACAGTTGCATTCATGCATCAACGATACTGAACAGCCTGTGTGCATTATGCGATTTAATCAATGAACCCAGGCTTGGCTTTTATGCTGTAAAAACTGATCGTGTTTACGTTTTTACGTGTGAAAAATGCGTAAAGATACGTAAATACAACGTAAAACTTCCCGGTGTACATAAGGACAGTACATACAGACTTACGGAGTCCGAAGAGTGGCAGCCAGACGCCCTGGAAGGGGCAGAAACGAGTTTTTGTTAAACACAACCATCGCCCTTGCCAAGGGCGAGGTGGACACTGTGTTGCGGGTGCTGGATTTGGCGGAAGACTGATCGTTGTACGCAACTTTCATCGTGTAATCTGGGCGTCCCAGGGAGCCGTGAAAACGTTAAAATAGCCTCAAATTAGGCTTTTGTGCAAATTTACGTTTTTAAGAGTGAAAACGTAAAAGCAAAAACGTAAGCGTAAACGCAAAAATCAAGCATGAATAAACCAATTGATAGTTCATTTCTTATTCAACTTCTCTGTTGATGGACACGATATCACTATGCTAAATGATGCAAATGGTTTGAAGCAAACCCCAGACCAGTGTGCCTTGCCAAATTGTCGCTGATGAATCATCGCGTTGGCCAGCAAACGAATTCTGATGCCGCTGTTTGCATATCGTTATATATAATAATGATGAAGCAAACTGCACAGGGCATTTCGCTACAGGCGGAGGAGAAGATAAATCTTCAGAATCAAAAAGAATTTTCATCAAATCTCTCAGACAATAAGATCCAGTTCTCATATTGAATTGGCTTGTTGTCAGCAATTCGCAGTTGACAGTTTGGTGAAACACACTGGCTAAGCTTCGTCCAGAGCGAAGCTGCGCATGTGCCATATGCATCAAAATCTCGCACACACATCATTGGATGGTAAATCGAGCAGCACAAAAACGGTATACATGAAATTTCGCAATCCGCACCAATAATTCATGGTTCCACAACATTTCTATCAATTAAATCACGGAACAAAGCCATAAAAATGTCGATTACTCTTGTTGAATGTCGTTTCAACACCTCGCCTGCTCAACCTCAGAGCACTGGCTGGTCATGTTCCTGCCCGTGGAGCCAAACTGGCCACTCCGCCCGACACAGCGCTGATGCCGCTCAAAAAAAATTCACATTTTCCAGGTCGCTTTTTTCTGTGGGACCAGGACTCCTGAGTGTTGCGCAATGTTACGAAACCAGCAGTGTGGAACAACACCCTGCCCATAAGGGAAAGCGCACGCCTCCGTACGCAACATATGAAAACTGCTGAGATACCTAAGAACATGCTCAGCATATTCAAGGCAATTGTTTGATTCCTTAATCATTTAAATTTCAACGCACAATACAAATACTGCACGTCGAATGAATTAAATGCAATAAGAGAATTTTTATTCATTTTAAGAAGCTGAATATCCATGACAAACAACATATCGTGACGATCAGAAACACCCATCGCAATCTCCAGCCCACCTGCAGCAAGGAGGAGCCCTCTGGCACGCCGAAGCGCGACACGCTTGAAGGTGAGTGCGCAATGTCATACATGAAAACTGGTGAAAATCTGAGGGTATAACCAATATATTCAAATAATTTCATTGACTTGTTAGTCGCTTAAATTTCAATGAAACCTAAGTGACATTTAACAGCCAACGTACAGTGTCAATTATCAACGTACATTCCTTTAATTTAAAATGACTGTCTTGCCAACATGTGTTCTTTTGATTCAGTAGGCTTCATCCCCAGAACAAACGGCTTCTCATGACGGCCACAACACTTCCCACGATCATTATCCCACCTGAAGCACGGAGGCGCCTTCCGGCACGCCAAAGTGAGCCACGGGCGAGTGCGTGCTGGCGTAGCTGCAGCCCGCCGTCACCACCCGCAGCTGGCACCTCCCGGGCGCCTGGCCGCCGCCCGCGGCGTCCACGGCGCACAGCCGGACGTTGGCGCCGATGCCCTGGGAGTTGGAGGCCACACCCGAGAGGGCAAAGCCCACATGGCGGTCCATGGCGGCCGTGCCCTTGAAGAGGAAGAGGCGCCCGCGGCCCGTGAAGACGCCCGTGGAGATGGGGGTGGTGGCTGGCGGGGGCAGGGCTGCGAAGTCAGCGAAAATCGGAACTCCGAAAGGCGCAGCCGGAATCGAAGTCGGAGTCAGCAATCCAGCGGAACCGCAATTGATCTTTCAGGCGGCAACGCTGACGTGCCGCTTTCTTGCGCAACGTTTATCTACACCGAAACTGCCCAATTATTGTGGCACAAGTACGCTATGGCTCAATTCTGCCGCTTGTTTGTTTCCATTTCTCACACGTGGTACATGGCGCGGCACGCTCATCCATATGCGGGGCAAACAGCAACAGCGCTTTTGAAGTCTTCTGAAGTGTAAATTGAAGCACGCGACGTATATAATCGAATGTGCGATAGGTATGTACTTGTCGCAGATGTTTCAGCAAAAGAATGTCAAGTGGGCTCGATCTCCTAGTTGCACTGACAAGGAAGCGCACTCAATCCAAGACACCACACTGCACGCACACTAAAACCAGCTACCGTGAGCAGAAAAACACATTTTCCTGTACTTTACGCAACCTTCAGCGCATTGCTCAGTGCAGTGCCCAACATTCAATCCCTAAACTCCTAATGCTCAGCACTCTACCCAATAGTTTCCCCGGCGCGCGGCGCGCTCCCCCACCTGTGGAGCACAGCACCATGGCGTCCTGGCTGCCGTCCTCGTTGTAGTCCGCCGTGGCCAGGCCGCTGCAGAAGTGGTCCCTCAGTCCCAGGTCTCCCAGCATCTCGAACCCGCCGCCGCCCATGTTCATGAACGTGGAGCCGGGGTTGCGGATGGGCAGCCAGTTGGGGTTGTCGGACAGCGCCCCCACCGTCACCAGGTCCACGTTGCCGTCGTTGTTCAGGTCCATGAAATCGGAGCCCCAGTTGAACTCGTGGAAGCCCACCCCGCTGCCGACAGTCTCGTTCCGATACGTCCCCCCAGGCTGACTCAGCAGCAAGAGATGCGCTTGGTTCAGCCGCTTGTCTCCCGTGTTGCCGAAGTAGAAATCCACTCTCCCGTCTCCGTTCAAGTCCGCCATGGACACCCCGAACCACAGGCCTCGATCCAGGGGTCCGAACACGAGGTCCGTGACGTCCTCGAACTGCAGCCTGGGAGCGCCGAACATGGCCTCGAACTCTTTATGCATGTTTTTGAGGAGCTTGACGGGCCCGGGGATGTTTTGCACGGCGGGGGGGCCGGCGGAGGAGAGGGTGAGGTTGAGCAGGAAGCAGGAGCCCGTGACAATGTCCAGGTCGCCGTCGTTGTCGTAGTCCACGAAGGTGGAGATGCATGTGGAGGGGTTGTCCACGTTGAGGCCGCTGTCCTCGAATTTGAAGTCGCCCTAGGCGGGGCGAAAATCCTTTGTTTGAATCACTTCTGCAGTTCATAAAGCGGCGCCTTTGCTCATTGCGGGCGATGACGGGCTTATGTGCGTCAAAGAATACTAGGCACCTGGAAAAAGGGTAGACGTTGATGCAATGGTGTGAGTGCAGTACCGTTGATGCAATGTGGAATTATTCTGCAGCAAGACCAGCGCGTACGCCTTGGCCAATGCTGGCACACGCATTAGCGCTTGTCAGAGTTGACATATGGGCATTTGCTGAAGCGTAGCTGGCTGCTGCATGAATGGCAATGCAGCCACAATGGCGCATCAAAATCTATCCTTCTCCCAGATTTGGAGGACGTCTGAAATCTCCTCTCAGGAATCGTGGACGCACCGGTGATGGATGGCCGGACTGGTGTCGTGTATCAAGCCAGACTCCCTCACCCTTTCATTTGCACGCCCACCCTGAGTGGGCGCGACAGCGCGGTTGGTACCACGACGAAGTGTTGGGGTTAGTCCGCCGTATCCGTTGGCGGCAATCGCCATGTGCCCAAGGGCACAAATTGCCGTGATTGCCGCCCGCGTTTAAGCACTGTTGATTAAATGGCAATTATGCAAATCGAAACGAAGCACCAGAGTTGACTTGCATATTATCACGATTCAGTCATGTATCTTGTGGTAGTGTTGCGGCTTACTGAACTGAACTACAACTCTCACTAAATCCTCATTTGACAAAGCATCACATCGAGCAGTAGTCCTCTTGCAGGATACTCCAGTCTCTTCAGTGCCTTGTTGTAGTCTTTCGGGGGCGCTGACAGGTACTTACTCGTAGAATTTTTAATTTGCTAAGGAGACCAGTGTATTTGTTTCTGCTTGTTAAGGATACAATTTCGATATTTAGCAAGAGGACCACAGTTCCGGCACGGCGCTACAAGCACTAATTGGATGCCGCTCCTCACCTAATAAGTGCAGTGCTCGCCCTTTCGCACTCCAATCATCGGCGCGGGATCCTCCCGGAAGTCTCAGATTTTTCGCTAGTCAGTGTACCCCAAAGCCAGAAAAAATAGCGAACAAAAGTGCCAAACAAGCAACAGCATCTAAACCTAGCAGGCTTAAACTGCAGTTATGAAACCAACGCGCAGCACGGTTCTAAAGTACTAAAGTTACGCCACAATTTGGGTGGCGACAACTGTGCGATGTTTTGGAGTCAAAAAAGGGAAAATACTGTGCCCCCACCCTGCGGCCCCCTGCCGCACCTTGTTGATGTACAGCTTGCTCTTGTACACGCCCACCAGCTCAATGTTGTTCCCGAAGGGCAGGCCCTCCGAAACGAACAAGTCCAGCAAGCCGTCGCCGTTGACGTCCCCTGCCGCAGCCGCGAACTCCATCAGCGGCGGGTCCAGTCCGTGGTCCTGCACCGCCCGGTAGCGCCCGGCCCCCAGGTTCTCGTAGAAGATGCCGTAGGAGCAGTTGGTGGGGTGCGCCTCGCCCAGGAAGTTGATGCAGGCGGACATGTAGATGTCCACGCGGCCGTCGTTGTTGAAGTCGGCGGCCAGCGTGGCTGCGCGCCTGCCTCGCTTCTGGCGGGGACGAAAGCGGGATCGAGCTGAGTGACTTTGTTCACAGCTTTGTTCAAGTTTGCGTCCGAAAGACAAAGCGGAGCACGCGATCGAGCTGAGCAGCTTCGTTCACACCTTTGTTCAAGTTTGCGTCCGAGAGATAAAGCAGAGCGCGCGATCGAGCTGAGCACAAGTTTTCAAGTTTGCGTCCGAAAGACAAAGCGGAGCGCGCGACGGAGCGAAGTGCCTTCGTTGGAGTTTGCACGGCAAACCAGGCGCTCTGCCTCAATTCTTCCCTCCAAATTTGATTTGAAGGGAAACGCGTGGTAGCAAACGGGCGCCGGAGGTTTTGCGTCTTTGGAAGCGCGAGGAGGCGGGATGGGGTGGTGGTCAGTCCGCCAGCCTTGCGTCAATCGACGCAGGGCATGCTGGCGAACGCCGAGCTTTTCTCGCGCTGGCTTGACACGCTCGTCCGACAAGTTCTGGGACGTGGGTGAACTAGGGCGGGGCGCAATCTGGCTTCGCCTGGCGGTGCAGCTGCGTCCTGTGCGCGGATCTCGTGATGGGGCGCGGCCCTCCAAAGGGCAGGATCTGTTGACCAGGCGCGGTTGACCCGTTGGTCAGCGCCGGGTGCCGGGGACGGGTGCGACGCGGGCACTGGCTCCGATACAGGCGCCTCGGCGCCGGCAACTCGGCGGCCATTCAATGCCATGGCCACTCGAAATCGGCGCGCCCTGCAGCGGAGCTCGGACGCGGGCGGTGATGGCGGCTAGAAGCCGCAAAACCAGGAACGCAGCGAAACATCATCGCGTGACGGTGCCGTTGCTGTCGTATCGGAGCCGTTTCGAGCCGGCGAACCGCCGACACTCGGTCGAGTGCGAGGGGCAGTCTTCGGCGGGGTCGCCCGTGGCGGCCGCCGAGGCGCCGCGGACCCTCCAGGGCGAGCATCAGACCCAGGAGGGCCAGGGCAACGATCTCGGCAAGGCGGCCGAGGCCCGGACGCTACGGTCAAAACATTCCGGCAGCTCGATCTCAAACCTTTCCGGCAAGTGGCCGCAGGTGCATCTCTGTGGGGCGAGCCGCAGCCGTCAGGCCAACGGATTCGGCTGAGATGTGCGCACTCCGCGGCCGAGGACGCCGACAGTCCGCGACCCAGGCCCGGGTTCCCCTCGCACTACGCGCGGCGCCACACCGTCCGGATCCGAGGTTGAGATCGGCGCAGCCGCGTCGCGCCAAAGCTCCGCGGCCGCCGCGACGACTTGCCGCCCCTTAGCCGCTGACGTCCAGCAAATCCGCAGCCAGGCCCGCCCGTCAGAAAACCTCCGCAGCCCACAACAGCGCAGCGCGCCCAGCGCAAAACCTCGACAAGCCCTCCCCCCCTCCCCTCCCCGGCCCACCCAACGGGCCCCGAACCCCTCCGACGATCAACCCCCCAGTAACTTGAAGTGCCGCGCGCCTGCTTGCCAGAATCGAATCACAACCAAACCCAATCCTCCCCCCCAAAGGCCTTTTCCCAATCCCCCTCCCCCATTCCCTACCGAAGCATCCGGCAGCCCCTCCACGCTGTCGTCCAGCACCCTGGCCTCGAATGCATCCCCACCCTTGTTCTCCACCCACTGCACGTGCGACCCCCTGTCCGGGTCCCCCGACAGCACGAAGTCCAGGTCGCCGTCGCCGTCCACGTCCATCCAAGCCCCCCCGTAAAGCCACCCCTTCGCCGGTGCCGACTCGAGCAGAGCCGGGGACTCAACGCTCACGAGGTGCGTCGAAGCGTGGCCGGAGCCAATCCGAGCCCAGAGGGCAACCAGGGCGATAATGAGCACCTGCGAGGTCTCGGAACAGGGCATCTTTTTTGGCGCCGCCAGTCCTGCGAGGTTCCTTTCTTTGGCGTGGCGCGTCGGGGGGGGAGACCGAGTCAAGGCGCGGCGGCCGGCCTGGGGTTCTCCCAGAAAGCCCCTTGGGTGACTGCGGCCCACCTTTACCTGGCGGGGGCTGGTGGTCAAATTGAACGTAAGTAGTGAATTAAAGCGCTCTTGATCAGCTGCATAACAGCCGCTACAACAGATCCGCAATGGACAGCAATGGGTTTGTCACCATAGATCCCTATGTTTCTAAATCTGTTTGCCCTATTTGACCAGCTCCGTTGCGGGTCGGGAGTCTTGACTCAGGACTTAGAAGCCGACTCGTTTTCATGTCAGTTGTGCCTTGGAGGGTCCCAAGGCTCGCCCCGGACAGTATGTGGCAATTTTCTCCATCTCTTTTTCTCTACGTGGGTAGACACTGGCCCTTGCCCGGCTTCCTGGCATTTTCCATCCCCTTTCGGAACGTTAATATTGGAAAAATTTTCATAGTAAGCCTGCATAGAGCATTGGTCGTCAAGCTCGATTTCCCTGCTCATATCCGAGGTGCGTTCCTTTGAGATTCCAAGATATTTATTTTGAATTTCCCGATTGAGTAGTTAGTGGATAAGCGTTACGGGGGATTAGCCAAACTTTGCCTGGACGTTTCGCACCGTTCATTGTCTCTATTGTGTATATTATTGGCCAAAGCCGATAAACTACATCAATAACAAACTAATCAATAAACTAATCACTAAGCAATATCAATAAACTAAATCAACAGACTTGACATTGGCGTTTACCTTTACGATTTCAACGTGCAAGTTCACCTTCTTTTTGTAGGCTTTTATGCGTAAAAACGCAAATTTGCCAAATGGGTTACTTTGACAGGCGTATTTACGTTTTTAGGGCCCGCTGGGACACTTAAGTCACACGATGAAATTCGCGTACAATGATCAGTGCTCCGCTCCCTTGAGCATACGCAACATAGCGTCCACCTGGATCTGGGCAAGGGCAATGACGTCGTCGAGCAAAAGTGTGTTTCTGCCTACTCCAACCCATTTGGCTGCCACTCCCCATATTCCGCAAGTTCATGAGTACTGTCCTTATGTACACAGGCGCGTATTTGGCTTATGTTTACGTAGCTTGACGCATTTTTACTTGTTAAAATGCAGGCCTGGTTTTTGCGTTCACGTTCATGTCTTTACTTTTACTTTTACGCGTAAAAACGTAAATTTGCAAAAGGACCTATTTTTACGGCTGTTTTTACGTTTTTACGGCTCCCTTGCACACGTAGGTTACACGATGAAAGTTGCGTACAATGGTCATTCCTCCGCCGTATCCAGCACCCGCAACACAGTGTCCACCTTGCCCTTGGCAAGGGCGATGATGGCGTTTAACGAAAGCTTGTTTTCTGCCTCTTCCAAAGCATCTGGCTGCCACCCTCCGGACTCTGCAAATCTGTATGTACTGTCCTTATGTACACCAGGCAGCTTTTACGTTGTATTTACGTATTTTGACGCATTTTTACGCGTAAAAACGTAAAAACTATTTTTACGAGTAAAAACGTAAACACGATCAGCTTTTACGGCGTAAAAACCAAGCCTGCTAAAATACAAAAATTATTTTAAAGCGTAAAAGCATAACTAAAATCTGTGTCACAGCGTAAATAACAAGCCTGTAATCAACGTCGAAATCAGTACAAATGAAGAAACGCGAAAAGTTCAGGCAGCAACATTCATCCTAAAAGGACGATCATCACGTCTCCAAATTGGTGAGATCAGCTGCCGGTCGTCTTCCACCAAATCCACCCGTGCAAAAGGACAAATGATCATATGGACATATGTTTTAACCAGCATATTCAGTCACGTGATGCGTCACGATTATGGGTGCATCCGCGCCGCATTTCTTTTCTGCATATAAATATAGCCATTGCGATGATGTGACCAGGTGCTCTGTACGATATGATTATGTGATGGGACATTACGTACAAATGTGTCCACAGACGGGGCGTCATGTACGAATGCGAATGCTTGGGCAGAGTGCACGGAATCAATGCGTGTCCGTGGATGACCTGCCGTGAGATTGTGACCTTGCTTTGGCCGCTGTGCATGGCTTCACCTGTATTCCCATGGGAACTGAAGCTCCAGAAGCAGCCACAGAGTGTCCGAGGCCCCCGCGTCATTTTTCTTTGCTTCTACAGTTGGTAACCTTGTACATTTACTTGAAGTAAAAATGATGGTCTAAACCACCACAGTTAGCCCTGCCCCTGATGGAAACTGTGCATGCTCACCACTTTCAGGTGCCATCCGTTGAGGTTCCAACACAGCCACTCACGCAAGTGATGTGACTTTCAAGCACCCCATCCGGCGATCCGGGCAGCATCAGGATGAGTAATTGTAATCTTTTGTCGTCATTTATTGTCACTTTGCGTCCCGACTGGGACCCGTCCCAAATCGCGTCCCGGGACGCGCCCCCAAAACCGCCCCAGAAAAGCGTCCCTGGATGCGTCCCAGAAACCACCCCAGAAAAGCGTCCCGGGACGCACTAGGGCGCGTCCCAAAAGCGTCATTTATTGTCACTTCGCGTCCCAACTGGGACGCGTCCCAAACAGCGTCCCGGGACGCGCCCCAGTAAGGGTCCCAGAAAAAGTCCCAGAAAAGCGTCCTGGGACGCATCTGGGACGCGTCCCAAAATGCGTCATTTGTTGCCACTTGGCGTCCCAGTTGGGACGCCAACCGGGACGCCACTAGGACGCATGGGACGCTTTTTGGGACGGGTCCCAGAAGGGGGGATTTCTATTAGTGCCAGCAATTCAGCATATGTTCATGCATGATGTACACTCTAAATGAGACCTTGCAAATTTTGCCAGTGCTGCGCACTGTGTGCCCCTTTCGATTCTCGGGAGCACTGGGAGAGTGTCAGCGACGTAATGCTCCAGTCCAGCAATCTGCAGCACATAACAAACCAGGGCCCTGTCTCAGAAACAGCACGCACTTCCGCTTGTGAGGCATGCCACTGTGGTGCAATTGGGAACTGGACTCCAGACATTCTCCCCCCATCTACGCACCTCCCCTAGGAGGTGCATTGCAACCGGCCAGCTGCAATACATGAGCGTGATGTTCCGTCAATCGAATCCCAGAATGGGGCTGCCCTCACTATTGGTCACTGAATCGGCACCGCATCGAAGGTGCCCCTTTGCTGGTCCTTCCCCATCCTTCCCCCTCCTTGCTGTCTGCAGTACCAGCAGCATAAGAAGGCAGCGCACACACCATCCCCACCCGTGCGCGGCCGCACTCACCGATAGTCCCAGGAACGTCGCCCCTGGCTTTGGCTGGCCAGATACTCTCGAAGGATTCGGCCGGGCAGCTGTGCGCTGGCCTTTCGTTCAGGTGCGTGGATGCATGCTGAGGAATCCCCAGCTGTTGAAGTTTCTTACCGGTACAGAAGTACCGCTGCTGGCATGCGGCGCTGCGGGAGATTGGGCGAACGGGGCGCGTCGCCAAGGTGCTGCGGAAGTGTGTCGGATAGTGCTATGCCGGTGCTGCTTATCGCTGGGCGTCAGGATCCCGATCCTGAGACCCGCCCGCAGTACATCGGCAAGCGGGCTGCAGGTGCGCGCAGCACTTGGGACGAAAGTCCGGCTTCAGGGACCAAAGAGTGCGCGCCGGGGCGCGAACGGACCCACACGTGTCTGGCTGCTGGAAGTGGCCTCGCTCTTTGCTTTTGAGTGCGGTGGCACCAGAGTCTCAGGACTTCGAAATGGAACAGGAACCGCCACTGACAGGTCTTGGGAGTGCTCGAGGCTTTCGTCGGAAAGGCTCCTGCAGGAACTCAGGTGGGTAAAGCACAAAAAGTGAGGGCGGCTTGTTCCCCGGGTGCACGAAGGGAAGATGAGCTTGGATCGAGAACCGTGCTCAGCGCTCCTCTATCGTCCCTAACACGGTGTTCTGCACCATTGGGCTGCGGGCAAGAGGCTGTTGAGAGCCATTGGAGTCGTCCCGCCAGCTCTCGTTTCCGCAAGAACGAACTCGGTGCGCCGGGCTTGCGTTTCAAAAGCTCGAGTTGCCTGGAGGTTTCGCATCGAGCGACCTCGCCAACACTTGTGCTCCTCGAAAGTGTGTCCCAGATACCGTCGTGGACCGGTTCCCCACGCTGAAGCCAGTCCGCGTAGTGGACGTTGGCTGGGCGGCGCCAAGGTCAACGTGTCTTGCCGTTTTCAACGCTGAGAAGGAAACTGTGGCTGCGCAGGATTGGAAGGTGTGCAGGAGAAGCAGCGTTCCTTGATCGCCGGTGGCTCTCTGCGGCGCAGACCGGTGCCGGGGCGTGGTTTGTCACCGGGACCGGCCGAGCCCCTTTGGGTGGGGTGCAACGGTGCCTGTTGCGATTCGCGTGCGGGGGAGAGAGCAAAACTCACAGGTGCTGCCTTAGTACTTTCCTGTTTTGTCCTCGTTCACCATGCTCGCTCGACAAGTGGTTATCACCTGTCACTTGGGCGGCACAGGTCACCGCTCTTGGCTCACGTACGGTCTCCTGGCTGACCTACCAGTGCAAAACATCGGCATTTATGAAGGACCAGGCAGTGGTTCGCAAGTTCGCAGAGAACAACAACAGCGGCTGAGAATTGGCTCGCTTTTTCCAACAGAATTCTCACCAAGATATCCAAGATCATCAAAAGTGGTATGCCAGACTGTGGTTCTGGGTCGCAGCCGAGAATCGACGTCGGGGACGCTTGCAAGGTGGCCTTTGCAAGCGCCTCCAGGAAGAAGCTGGAGTCTGCACTGGAACAGTACTCGGAAGACACCTCTGAACGGGAGAAGTGCCGAAGCAGAGCAAAGCTGTTGCGAATTGCCTTAATTTTCTCTCTCCTCACCGCAGCTTGTGGTGCTATGTTGGAGGAAGTCTGCATGGCACTGGTGCCACGGTGGATACAGTTGGTGGGCTTGGTCTTGTCCGTATTGAGGTACGTGTTCCTGGCGCCAACTTCAATGTATAATGAGTTTCTGGATGTTTTGACAGACGACAAGCAATGGTGGGATGTGGTTGGGAAAATGGAAAAAAGGAAGAAAATCAACGCTGCCATAGACGAAAGTCTCAAAGAGGGACGCTTGCAACATATCGAGACATCTGGCCTGGGCTTCTGGACGAGAAAAATTCTGCAATTTGGAGAACTTATGGGAACACATTTGCCTGCCAATATCAGCAATGAGCTCCGGGATGCTCTTGAGAAGCGTGGCTTGAACGTGAGAACACAGCAGGGCGACGTTGACGCAGCATGGAATTCCGCTACGATCAAACAAGGAGCATATTTCAGTCTTTTCATGGTCAAGGATATCATTGCAATAATTGGAATGAAGAAAATTAGCAATAAATTGCTGAGGCAACAAGTACTGGCAGAGAGCACGATTGGGGCCAACTATATGCAAAATTTGGTATTTGGCATTCTCCTCATGGTCGTCGTTCGTCAGAGACTGGCTATGGGCACAGGAAGGAAGATTGCGATCATATATGGTCTGGCTGCAATTGCCGTGGCTCGTGCCGTGCTGTCTTTCGATGTTGGGACAGATAGTTGGAGTATTGCTAGGTTCATAGACAACTGGGATCTGCATCTACTGACGTTCGGCTTGTGGTTTGCAGCGACCATTTATCTATTCCACAGAATGCGCTCGTCTGGAAGGATATCGAGTTTAGTCGTTGTTACAGTTACCATGTGGATGACGGCACAGCTGTTTGCAGCACAGCTGAGGAGTGGATCGCTTGCGGAGAGAATTGATTTTGATGGGAAAGGAAGAAGCATTGAGTGCATGGATGCATACAAGTGGCTAGGAAATATTTTGCCTTAAAACAAAAAAAGGAAAAAAAAAACTGGCTAGACGCTTGTTCGTCGGAATATGGGAAAGGAGGCACAAATGACTGGCTAAAAAAACGACTTGATGGCCTAACGGATGCCACTTGTATCAGGTAAAGTTCGTTCGATTTATGTTACTATGAATTTGGCAATTGCATCAAATGACTTAACCCGAATGCAGGAAGAGAGTTGCATCTTAATATAGATCAGGTTGGATAAGCATAGCACGGGGGGATGTTATAAAAGCAATGCACGAAACTTACTGCGCAACAAAAGAGCCAAAGGCCTGTCGCGACAGCCCCAAAAGCGGCTGAAACAGCCTGCAGGTGAAACGCTGCCCGAAATGGTAAAAGTACAGTGGAGCGGCAAAATGCCCTAACTCAACAAATCCGGAAGGAGGGCAGCGTTGCATTCGGCACGGGCAGAATCGGTACGAGAAACATCGACAGAAAAATGGCTCGATAGCCAGGTGGGTCGCACTCACCGATGAGCGTCATCCGTCATAGATGATCCATGCACGTATCATCTGTGACGAGTGCCAACCATATCTGGGGGGACTGGCTTGCACAGAAATGGCGTCATTGTATCGCGGGCCGACTAGTACGAACACAAGCAACTGGGGCTGGTGGTCGTCTCGCTCTCAGCCAGAACGATTTAGGCGCAAGGGGCACGCTGAGCACATTTCACACCTGTGTTATATTTAACATCCATTTGTCGCCACTGGGGAATTTCGTTGCTTGCCAGCATATTGATTATGGAGTACGCCCAAGGATTGAGTGCACATGATCGCGTGAGCTTCCATGTTCAACGAAAGATTTATGGAACATGCAGCATCGCCAACCGCAACATTCTTTGTCGTGCTGCATCCAGCAGAATCGAAAACAACAAAAGCGCAAATTTGAAAAGCGCTAATCAGCCACGTACATCACCCCCAGCCCCACAACCCCAACATGTTGGGGTACACCAACCCGCGAAAGTTCCGGACCTACATCCCGGACCTCTACTTTTGGTACTTCTGTATTCAGGGGATAAAAGCCTTCTCCTCGCCCCGGCAATTCCATGGCGGCTTACAGTTGGAGAATTATCAAGAACTTGCACCTGACCCACTCTAGCTACGCACCTAATTTTCGCACCCGACGAAAGCAGCTGTGAGAAGCACATAGGCGAACGGCTGGTGGCAAATAAACACATGCCTTGAAGCTTATTGGCGTGAGGAGCATCTAGCTTCAGACCAAAGCCCTGTCCGCCGCGGCCCTTCAAATGCGTCACCCCTAGTGAATGAGTGAACGCATCCTGCCCGTCAGCATGGCGAAAAACAGTGACGGTGTTGCGCTCAATTCCGGCATGACGCAGCTGAGGCAGTCCGAATTTCCAACGGTCGGCAACAAGCTCACCGTAATGGACCCAGAAATCCCGACCGCAGGCCAATGATGCCCCATCCCTCGCCTTCAACAGACGGCACCATCGTCCCATGCGGCGCGGGTGCATTTCCCCACAATAGTCCACACCGCACATCACACCAGCAGAAAGCACCGCTTTTGCGACGCCATTTCGACACTAGCTGGCGCCATAACAGTGATTGGAATGGAATAAACTTGGCTGTGGTGGCTGCTCGCAAGAATGTCGTTTTATACTGGTGTCACCCCTCCACTCTTTACCACGTATCAGTGGCACCTTCACCGCACCGTTCTAGCACTGGTCTCGAATCCACGCGAGGAACTTCAGTGCCACCGCGGCTGCCAGCGCAAGGCCTCCCCCCACCAGCGCCGCCAGCTGCCCGCTCTGCCGCCGGTACAGCCGCTCAACCGCGGCGTAGGCTACCCCGGGGTCCCTCAGCTTCCCAGTCGCGGGCTCGTCGAACACGGCCGGCATCGCCCGGTGCAGCGCCCCCAGCGCGAGGTGTCTTGCGACGTGCCACGGCGACAGGATCTCCCGCCTCGACCACGCCGCGCAGGCGTCCGCCTGGGGCTTCCTGGTCGCCGTGAAGGACGCCAGCGCGCCCGCAAGATCCCCATCCCCGTTCCCCAAGGCCCGCGCCAACTCCCTGCAGCCCTCCAGCGCCAGGCTGCAGCCCTCGCCCGCGCTGGGGAACACCGAGTGTGCCGCGTCGCCGATCAGCACGACGCTCCCCGCCCCGTGAAACGCGCTGCAAGTCGTGGTGACCCCCCCGTGAAGGATCTCATCAGCGTCCAGAACCTTCTCAGCCCACCCCTCGGGTAACGCCACGCCCAGGTCCTGGTAGTGGCTCCGAAAGAACGCCTCCAGCGCCGCTTGGGTCCCAAGGGCCCCGGCGGAGGGCCCCCGGGCCCGTGAGCCCATCCCGAATCTGCAGCGGCCGTCCGGCGTGGGCGACATCGACACGCCGAAGCTCGGCCAGCGGCGGAACCACAGGTGCCAGTGCGACGCCCAGGTCGCGTCCGCCCCGGGCAGGTCCGCCACGGACACCCCGTCGAAGTTCAGCGCCTTGTTCCACCCTGTCTTGCGCTCTTGCTCAAACGCCAACATCCCCGCCGCCGCCATCTCGCGCCGCACGGCGCTCCACACGCCGTCGGCGCCCACCAGCAGGTCGTAAGGCGCCCTCGCCTCCCCCCCGGGACCCTCGAACGTCGCCGTCCGCCCCTCGAAGTCCACCCCCACCAGTCGGTGGCCGAAGAAGTGAACCAGCCGGGGCCCAAACCTGTCGGCGCCGTCTTTCCGCAGCGCGTCGCACAGATCGTCGCGGTTCACCAACACGTACTCCCCGTCGATCGGCACCTTCGTGATCCTCCCCACCGGCCCGTGGTGCAGGATAATGCCGTCCAGCCTCACGGCCCTGTCTGGGCCCAGGTCAGATCCCGCAGCCCTGATCGCGGCCAGTCCCCTGGGCCCCAGGACGATCTCATAGCCACTTGGGCCGCGCCCGTCACACTTTCGGCGCTCGTACACCGCCACCCGCCAGCCTTGGGACGCCAGGAATATGGCGGCCAGCGCGCCCGCGGGCCCACTGCCCACCACCACCGCGCGTCGATCGGGACCCGCTTCGTGCGCCATGGGGCGTCGCCGAGGTTGCCAAAGTTGCCGAAGTCGCCGAAGTCGTCGAAGTCGCCGAAGTTGCACAAGTCACGGAAGCGCTTAGCAGTGCGTTGCGTCTCAAAGAGAGCCGTCGGCCACTGGACGGGGCCCGGTGCTTAACAATCAAAGGGTGGAGCGGGACACGTGTCTGGTCCGCGACAGGTGTCCCGTTCGCCCAAAAACTGAAGGTGCGCGAGTGTGCGGGTGTGAGAACTGTGGGTGTTTGTTGCGCGTTTGTCACGGAGCGCCTAACCCGCAGTAATGCGGATTTGAGGCAGAGATTAAGCGGGTCCACACTGGGGGCGACTTAGGATCGCAGTGGATGAAAGGTGGTCGCGCACAGTGTGCGTGACAGGCACGTTCTTTGCAGTTGCGTGGCTCAATTAGAATGGCGTGCATCCCTGGGCGGTAGGTCGGAGGCGTTATTGACGGTACTGCACACCATTGGTGTGCCACGCAACTGTCGGAAGCAAGTGCTTTGCAGCTCTGCCAAGAGTATGCGGAATTGCCAGACAGTCTTTGGCAGTCATGACCTTTCTTTCGCTCCTCCACTATGATGAATACTGAGATCCATTTGCTTAAAAACCGGTTTGTTGTTCGAAGCCATGTGACGTTCGCCCCTGTTATCCAACGACCATGATCGAATCTCCATTCATCATCACGTTCAGAAACTGCTGAGTGGTCTCGCACGCTTCAGCCTCACACTGAGCAAACATATGGCTACCACTTCCAGCAAACCAGCGAGGTGCAGCTGCACCAGAGGTCGGCGCAGGCCACCTGGTGAGGTCCATTATATACCGTACCACACCTCCCATATTTTTGCTGCATTGTCCGTTAATCTAGGGCCGGTGGGCCGCCAGCTACCGTTGCGGTCACACGAGAGGAAGCGCGCCGGCCAGCAGCTGGGAACCGACGATGTGGCTGGGAATGCAAAAGGGCGGCCTGCGGAGGCGAGTGACCAGTGGGGAAGGCGCCCCTTAAGACCTGTGCGCATGGCCCTCCCAGGCCTGTGTCAATCCAATGGCATGACCGCTGAAGTGGCCGGCCCCGGGTACCGCCACTTAGCGACCATGCCCGTGTATTGACGCGCGGGGAACGGAGCGCCCATGGGCTGCCCAACGGGGCAGCGTGGCGGAGCGCCACGGGATCGGTATCACGACGCCAAATCTGGCGTCGTGATGGCCACTTTAGAGTGACCGGGCGAAGCGGTGCAGCGCTGCAAAGCGGGCACCGTGGACGGGCCGCCATTGGACCACCAGCGTCGCGGCGGATCCCTGAATGCTAGCGGCGCCAAGGCCGGCGGAGCCGGGCATTGGGCCAGCCTTTGGGCCTAGAGGGATGCGCACGGGATGGAGCGCGCTGGGAGGTGGTTGGAATGCACGGAAATGAGAGGCACGCGGCAGAGCTGTGGGCCCGACGTTGCCCACTGCCATCGCCTGCGGTGGCCCCCGCGATCCTGCCGAATCAGGGCCGGAATGGCCCTGGGGAACGCAGCGAGAGGTGCTCCTAGGGTCCAAAGGAGAAAGAGCGCCGCACCGACGTGCAGCCACCGCACCCCACTCCGCAGAAACAGAGCCAAGGACGCCGACTCCACACGCAATTCCACAGCTCCCCGCGACGCATCAACGCGACGTTACTTAAGCGATTTTAGTGACGCTTCCCTTCCGCTCCCTTCTGCTCCCCAGGCCCCAATTTCCGGCCATTTCCAGTGACGAAAGACAGGCAGCGTCGAGGGGTGGCGACTGCTGTACGGTGATCGTCGGTTCGAGTCCACGGCAACAGTTTACAGACGAGACGAAGGGACAACAGGAGTTCTGTTCCTGATATCCAGTCCGTTCATAAACATCCTTAATGCAATTCCTAGTGCCTAATCATCTCGTTAAGCTTTCAGCTATTAATAATGTTCAATCAGTTCCAGTTACAACAACAGCACAAATAACAATACCGTGTGAACCGTTATTTAACGGATGGTAGGGCCGTGAGCTTGCTTTCTTGGAGGCGAATCCTTTCTCCATGTCAAAATTTCCCATCATTCAGGGCAAACACGCACGACAGCTGCCACCGAACACATCGACTTCGATCACACACCTTATCCACAGAAAGCCCTTCCATATCACTCATTGATAGCACCCCAAAGTAGCCAAGCGTCAGGAAATGACACCTGAGGCGCCACACCGCAGCAGCATGGAGCTTTCCCAAGAAAGGCTGCATTGTCAATGTACATGCAACCGTCCCCAGATGACTGAGCGAACATCTGCCTCCACTGAGTTAGAGCCAACCTGCAGCGGGCGTTCAAGTGTCCAGAACCGCAGAGACCCATTCCATGTTCCCAATCCCAGCCTGCCCTCAACTCATCCAAAATCTCAGCCCTGGCGCCTTTCGTCCAAACCCGGCACAGCTCTCGCCCAGTTCCCTGGGCACAACCACCCATCCAAAAAGCCAACTTTCAGTGCACCAAAGTTGCAGACCTAGGGCCCTCAATCCACCTCTACTTTCTCTCGCCTATCGTTGAGCCCCCCCCCCCACCCACCCACCCACCACCACCACCGCCAATAAAATGAAAGAAAAGGAAGAAACCACCCCACCACACCCCAGGGACGTCAGGCTGCGTACCTATCCCTCAGAAACGCCCACAGTGCCCTGAGCGCCTGCGCCTCGCCGCCCTCCGGCTTCCCGGGTTTGGTGTGCCCTGCAGGGTTCGAGGCGTTGGTGTCGATGTGCACCCACCGTGGCACGTCCTTGACGAACTTCTGCAGGAACAGGGCGGCCGTGATGGCGCCGCCTAGAGGGCCCTCGGAGCAGGACCCCGTGTCCGCGACCTTGCTGTCTAGCATCTTGCGGTAGGGCGAGTGCAGGGGCATGCGCCACAGGGGGTCATCCTGGCGGGGGAAAGTTCAATCGGTCACGAAACTTAATATAATATTATTAATAATAATAACAATAACAATAATAATAATAATAATAATAATTTTATATAATTATTGAATATTAATATAATGACTTAATAATTTTGGCAGCAAGATGGCGATGAGGCCCTATCACTACGTCATTCAACATAAAACGGAAAGAAACTACACTTGTGCAATTGTCTTCACTTGTAACTTCCACGTCGTCTAGGCTCTGGCTGCTTTGGGAAAACGTGGAACCGTTCCATAGCCCGATTCTTAATGGGCAAATCGATACGGAGGCAGTCAAGACGCACCAACAGAGCTGCCAAAACGTCGATTTGTGAAGAGAATGTGCATGTCAACTATGCAGACAGACAATCGACACATCTGCATCGCCTATCACTGGCCAAGAAGTCAAATGTGCAAAACTTGCAAGTACCGCCCACGCACAGATACAGATTTCTGTCGTTCAGGGAAAGGCGATGAAAGTCTTCCCCGTCCCGGGCAGCAAGCGAGGCAACGCAATCCGACAGCCCCGACAGCACCACAGAGGTGCCGCCCTTTGCGAAATCTTCGACTCAATCTGCTGCAAAGGCAGAAATTGGAACGCAGGACGCGAGCTTGCAAATTCTGACGACCGTTACGTGGCCAAGGCCCGCTCAACTTTTGAGTGGCCTGCGGCTCATATCAACCACAGGCATTGCTTTGCGCACATGCGCTGAAAATCATGTCCAACAGCTCAAAATCACGCATCACGTACCACGCGATGCATTGCCCATTTTGCCATGCCAAGGCTAGGATGGCGACAAATCGCGCAACTGAAACCATTCTCAATCCACAAACACAAAGCGAATGACAAGTCAAAGTGACAGATATCTAAACCCACAAAATGATAAAAGCAAATATCCGTGTACGCATGACAGATGGCACAATAATCTGTAAACGCATCTTTGCGGCTTTTTGCAAGCCATCGGCACCACTGACCGCCCGCAAAGGTCGCAACCCGGCCTCACCTCTGCCACTCCCGCTCTGAGGATGGCCTCCGCCACGCCGTCGTCTGACGAGAACATTGCCGGGAGTGAGGGCCCCAAGGCCACACGGGCAGCCCCCGTGAGCGTCGCCATGTCGATCATCAAGTCCGGTTCGTCCTGAGCGGCCTCGAACATCGCGTCGCACAAAATGAGGCGACCTTCTGCGTCTGTGTTGCCGTTCTGGACGCAAGCAGATGTGTCCTATGTTAGTTCTCATCCCGATATGAGGGCGACATTGAAGCAGCATTGATGTCCATTGTTGCAACAGGATTGTTGATGCACTGCTGGCAGTGTTGGCAACAAGCTCCATGTACGGACGTGCTGTGCGCAACAAAGGTTGCGAATTCGAATTCTCGGGGACAACGTAGCGTTAGCATTCGTGCACTAACGGTATCAATGGTGTCAGTACTAATGCCGATGGGGGGCTGCTGCTTGAGGCCTGATGCAGCTATGACTGCCTCTACATTAAGAAACGTATCACAGAAACGGCTGTTACTGCCAACTCAGTACAATACTTATTTCCAGGTGTTGACAACTCATTGTACTATTTGTAAGAATTTTTTACAATAACAATTGACGATGACAAAAACACTCCAGAGAATATGGAGCCCTACCTATTGTCCGCCTGTGAAGACCAATGAGAGAAAGAGATGTTACAGTGAGTGCCATGGTCCTTTTATCCTTCAATGGGTAATGAATGTCCCTGTAATGAATGTGGCCTTACAAAAGAACAATGAACGAACACTACATTCATTCTTCGCATCGCCCATTCTTCGCAAATGCACAAATCTGCATCACAAGGTTGACACAACAACCGCGCAACACTGTTGCAAACGACAGGCACTCAGAACATCTCACACATGGCTGCGCGGTCGCAAGCCTTGGCCGTGAAGCCTCATTTGCATTCATGCAAAAGCCTCAAGGCACATCTCGCCCATGTACGGCGAGTTTGGCACAAATCTATGTGCACGTTTCCCAAAACATGATCGCCACGAATGCCAAGGTGCAAATTGAATCCATTACCTCCACAGTGATGCCAGACCTTGTCTGCAGCACGTCCGAGGGGCGGTAAGCATTTCCGGAGATGGAGTTCTCTACTGTGGGCACCAGCACGCGCAGGCTGACAGGCAGACGGTTGGCCATGATGACGTGCGCCAGGCCAAGCACGTGCGCTGCACCGCCCATGTCCTGAATTGCATCACATAGGGTTACACAACGTGAAAGGCGCCACAAATGCCAGCGAGATTGACGACTTCTCACATTACTTGCGTTTGCGTATGCGCATTGTATCATTTGCCTTTGTTGGGTATTATTTGCTGGGCAAATGCACTTATTATTTTTTGTCTATGGCACTGCAACTAGTGAAATTGTCATGTTCCCGCATTCTGATTCGGTGTTCAAATCGCCTTATGCTGCTGAATATTTGTGCGGTAGCGGACGAACTGAACTAAGTTAATGGTTTAGTGCATTGGCCACACATTGAACCCACAACGCACGGAATTTTCCAAATTAAGAGCAAATTCGCCCTTCAATGTTGTAGAAAACTAAAGGATCATGTTGCATGCCACCTTGTGCCACAACAGGGAAAAGGGCGGTGGAACACCAATTTATCGTCGCTCCAAGAATGCTCTTTGTATTTCCTGGCAGAGCAAGAATACCACAAAAGCAGATATCGGGAGAGTACGCCACGCCCATTCTAAGGCATTCAGGACAACGTCAGACTCCGTTTCGAGATGGTTTCAATATTGAATCGATAGCTGCCGCACTTCACCTCCCCAACCATTTCACCTTCCACTCTCCATTCCCTTTTACATTCTCATATATTGTGGTTCTTTCTTGCGTTTCTGCGCCATGTGTATTGCCGCAGCACTTGCATACACGTGACAAGCTCCTGTGTGCTGTACATACATACTATGTACCATACGATCGCACATGCTCCTGTACGATGCGCACTGTGCGTGCGCACCTTCTTCATGCCTTTCATGCCCTGAGCGGTCTTGATGTCCAGCCCGCCTGTGTCAAACGCCACGCCCTTCCCCACCAGCGCCACTTTTGGGAGGTCCCCTTTGTTGGGGTCGGCACTCCACCGAATGTCCACCAGGCGCGGCGCCCTGCAGCCAGCCAAGTCCAGGTTGACCGCCAGGGTCATCAGCCCCCAAGCGTGGCATGTTTGGCATTGCCCATTTCTACATTTGCCCGCTCCGCATTTGAGCAGTGTTCGATGGCTGGAAATTGGATGTTAGCAATTTCACCAAAATAAATATTCAATGGGGCCATACATGATCCAATGGTTCATTGAGACACAAGAGTTCAATCATGGATTCAAACTGTGCAGCAGCCACCCCATTATACCCCTTTAAACTGGTCCACAAGGGGAAGCCATCAAAGGGCCTTTATCCAAATGTTGCGTGCTGTGTTTTTCATCTCCTTGGGCATCTCCCCCTGTGTTTTCCAGGGGGACGGCTTACGGTAGACTGCCAGAGAGATGGCTTGCTTGCATCTATTGGCCCGCAACAACAACCTTTCATTCCCTGTGGGTGCCAGATTGGTCCTTGGTATGCTTATTTTCAGCACGGCCTACTGAGGCTCCTAGTTGGAAAACCCCACTGTCCAAAGCACACTCATCATCCAGCAAGGCCCGACTATACCACAGCATGCAGTGTGTTGAGCTTCGTGCATCAGAAAATACAATCCCAATGCAACTCCAAAGCCTGGGTCCAGTCACAAGAATGCGAAGCAGGGCTGGGGCGCAGGGCATTTTTGTGCATTTGTTCCATGATGGAACACATGATGATCATGTATTTGGAATATCAAACATGCGCTTCATTCCAGCCAAGGAACACATTCTGTCCCTTCGTTCGTATAGACTTGTGTTGTTGCTATTTACAAACAGAACTCCCACCCACACTTGGTGCCACAAACCATGAGATGCATGTTTCCCATTAGCATGGTGCAGCTTCCCACCTGGAGCTGGCACGGCCCACAGTGTGAATGGCAGGGTAGTTCGATGTCAGCAGGTCTTCGCCAACGATTACGTCCACCTTCGCCCCGTGGCGAGCCGCCACGGCCATGGCCTCTGCCGCGATCTCCTCAGGTCCCAGGTCCTCTGCTGGGGTGTTGATCATGTCGCGAATGAGGTAGAGGGCCTCCACCAGGGACGTCACACACGACCTGGTGGTGGGAAATTTAGGCCCACTCAGGGTGTGGGTCTATGTGAAGTGTTGAGGAGCCAAATGAGCAACACACGAAGTGTTTTACTCGATACGTGGGCAACTTTGTGGTACAATGTGTGACTTGACTTTATGTACTATATTTAAAGCTCACTACAGAACATGCTTGTATTCTGTAACATACTCTGCTGTGCACAGAATGGACAGAACATTGGTTGCTGCTTCAGTGAATGGGTTCAAGTTTGTGGGCTTGGTGGGAGATCTGCCAGCAGGGGCCACAGCAGCAGCACTTTCTGGCGCTGACACTCCAAGTTTCTGACTCGCAGTGGTGACATCTCAAGGCCTGCAATCCGGCCATCTAGAGCATCGGCAAGAACTGACTATTCTGTGCAGTTGCCATCAATGCCTGGCATTGATAAACTGCTAGTGCATCAGGCAAACACTGTCATCATATGTATTCTTTCACAACACTGTAAGTTTACCTCAGTGTGTGTTCTGCATGTATTCGGCATGCATACTGTATGTAGTTATTCATGTTGTTGACTCAGTGAAGATGTGACAGATGACTGACACATGGCAGTTCACCAGGTGGTACCACACCATAAACCAGCTTTGGAGGAAAAAGGTCAGACTTAACCCCTCCCAGTAACCCTCAAAGTCGTGGTGGCTTGGCAGGAAACTGTGTAATCACATCACACGTCCACTACGGATCACGATTTCTTTTTCATTTTGTTCCCTGATTGTCTCCTTCAGGGAGCGGGTGTTCACCAATCTTTCAGCTAATGTCCTGCCTGGATCCACACTGCTAGCGTTGTCGATCTCTTGACTGCCATTCGCCTTTCTATCCCAATACGGATCCCAATGGAGCTCAACATCGTTGTCTCTATGTGTGGTTAAGCGCTCCGATTGATGGCAGCTTAGATAATCCTCTGCCGGGAGTTTCTGTGGCGCCACTGCGCAGGTGTGCGCTTCTCAGAATCTCGAAGCAGCCGGTTTTGCAACGACATTGAATATTGCATATTTTCTGGCCTGAGAACACCTATTGCCAAGTGCTGCCAAATCAAACTACCTGATGTACTGACAGGATTTTTTCGATTTGAATGCCAAATTCATGGCCACGGACAATATGTTGCTGAAAACCGAATGAACCAAAATGATGGACGATACTGAATTTGGAAAGCATGAAGTACAGTAACATTAACATTACATACAGCACGCATGACCGCGACCAAATTGTGTACTGCTCATTGTGCTCTTGATGAATTGCCAGTGATTCATTAGTTTGTTGTTTATTTGTTTATCTATTAATCTGTTAACTTATTGATTTGCTACCAATTAACTAACACACTGGTGCTAATCTTCCCAGCAAACTTGTCGTTCTATGTGCTTCGCAGTGACACATAAGTTGCTCAAAAGGTCTTCTGTGGGTGGTGGAATGGAAGTACCTTCGGGAAGAGGCAATGGGGTGGAAATTGTGGACATGTCTGCCCTCGGAAGATCACAGAATGCATTGTGTTGGTCTACCCAAAATTAACAAACAACAAGTATTTGAACATAAATATATAGAGTGTATAACAAATAATACAGTTATACACAAAGCATTGGCACACAGAAGCTACAAATATAAATAAAAGACTGGCAACACAATGGCAAGCCAATCAGTCCAATCTTAATGCATCGTTGCATAAAACATTGGGTCCCAAACGACCGCCCTAATGAATGCATGGTACTGCACCGATATGACAATCAGGAACGTTTGAGATGCACGACTTGCACACGTTTCAACAATTTGTCGGCAATCTCATGGCCCAGCTTACTTGTCACACCCCTTGGGCCAGCACAGCTTCGCCTGCTGCTTGTCTTCTTCGGGCTTTTTGTACCTTTCAAAAGTGTACGTCCCTATTTAGGTCACACACGTCACAATATTCAATCGCTGAAGTAAACAATCATGCATCCATACACTAACCTCACCGACTGCCAAATTCATGCCTGTCAGCAGGCAGAAGCATACTGCAAGTGCCACTGAATGTGGCATGCTCGGCACGGAGGTCCACTGAGATGGGTCACCTCCACTCTGCTTCGGTAACAGGAAAGAGAGAATGAGACTTCAGGGACAAACAATCCTCAAAACAGGCCATAGCAGATGAAATGAAGCAAGAAAAGAGGGAGATGGCATTCACAACGTGCAGGTGCATAGGCACAATTGCTCAACTCGAGGCGGCACCAGTGTGCAGGGAGCGTTCATACAATAGTGCCAAGACAATTCATAACAAGCTGCTGCCCATGGCACGCTCAGTTGAGCCCGGACCCATTGCAACCTGTTTTCGGACAAGCAATGAGTTGTGCACCTTGATAAGATAGGACGATGCCATAAAGAGCTCAAACGTCACCCTTGGATGCAAGTCGGCATAGAAGCACACGTTGCGTCCAAAATGTCAACCACTTGGCATTTGGAAAACCAACATGGCACATGAATAGGCCGCTTTTTTCTTTCCCTGATCAAACGAATCAATCATGAATGAATGAATGCATTCAATACAGCAATATAAAAGCAGCACACCGGTCGAGGTACATGTATCTGTGGACAGATCATCAGACTCCACCAGGTTTTCTGGAGATCTCCAAGGATGGCATAATGCTTGGCAACAAATCAGAGATATTCATGTTCCAGATGTATCGTGCTCACAGCACAAAAACAGTTCCTCATGTGGAAACACAGCCATCATACGATCTGACTCACCCATCGCCCAGCCCATTGCCACTCTGTCCATATCTGCCTGGTCATGGGCGCCCTCGATGGCATAATTCCCAGATGGCAGGCCTGTGGCCAGTGCTGCATAGCTGCACAGGTCAGAGGCCGTCTCCATGCCAAGTACCACTTTTGAGATGCCACCCTGATCATCGAGGCAATGAGAAAGCACTCAGTGCCACGCCTCTTAGAAAGCCAATACTGCACATTGCAGGCTCACAGAAGCTTGTTGGGTGTTCTTTTTCCCAAAATACACAACACAGGGGCCTGCAAGTTGCGGGCCACTACACGAATGAAGTCATGTCACTTGCCAAAATGTTCCCAGAATGATCTGTTGTCTCCATGTGTACTGAGAACAATAGGAGAAAACACAGAAGGAATAAAAGAAAGCAAGAGGAAAAGGAGAACAGTTCCTGATCGGTGAACTGGGCCATACTGCTGAGCTACTGGGTGTCCAAAGGAAGCATACAGGTTGTGATGTTCCATAGACTTCACGCATTTTCAAGCGCAATCGTACAGTTTCAGTATGGCCCTAGACTACTGTTTTTGTACAGCAGGGTTCTCCTGCCACAAAACTCAGCACGTTTGTTATGTGCTCTCTCCGGCCCCTGGGAGACTTCTATACATCTGCCAAAGCATGCAAAAGAGCGTTGCAACATTCTGCCTTGGAGGAGGGGTGCCAATTGTCCGTCATGCTTCCCTTTCTGCTGTAAGGGTTCATGAACCACTGCAACAGGAAGGGAAATCTGGGTGCACTGTCTGCCAGCAGATTGGCTGACTTTCGTCAACCATACTGGCAATCCCAAGGCGCTCTTTGGCCATTTGGCCTCAAGGCAGGATTTGGTTTCGCATCTGGCCATCAATCAATGGAGTACGTGGATGCAATTATGCCATCATCGGCTTGAAGCCACATTTGCAGTGCTCCTCCATGTTTGGTCACATTGTATGTAGACCAGCACAGTAGACTCAGACATACTGCATTGATAGTCACTGGGTGAACTACGGACGTACAGAGGCGACACATCATCTAACACTGATGCCAGGATGAGTTTGGGATGTTCGGGCAAGAAGTGTCAGCTATTTTGTTCAGTCTGTGTGAACTGGCAGTTGAAACTTGATGAAGCACTGCCCTAGCAACTACGAGGTGATGAGAGGCATAACTTCACTCACGCTGTTCAAGAACGCTTGTTCGATGCCCCCCCAGGAGGCCAAGACTGAAGAGATTGGACATGGGCTCACCACCCACCTCTTTGGAAGGCATCATGCAGATTTCACCGGACTTTGCCTTGAAGCCGCACGCCGACACCCACTGCTTGTGGTCCTCGGGTAGGCCCTTGCGCCAGTCGTCGAATTTCTCCTTCAAAATTAGCGCACGGCCGTCAGCGGGTCAGGCAACTCGTGCTTAGCACGACAACATAAGAGGGCGAGACGTCGCCCGCCTGTGCGCCATACAGCCTTCTGAGGCTGAGTATCTCTCCGTCTGAACGCGACCGTTCTCTCTCTTCTCTCCTGCGGACGTTTCCGGTAGTTCTGTGCGTGTTTGTTGGCAGAGTTGCCAGGCAAAACTGGACAACGCACGAGTGCCAACAAAGTGTGCTACTCTGTTGGACGCGCTGTTGGGCCAAATACGCGGCGAGTGACTTCGCCTTGCGCTGCTCCGCGAATGTAAAACGTCAATTCCATCGGTGGAGTTGTTGGGATTCAATTCTGTTGTTTAACTCGCATGGGTGGATGCCTGGGCGACGTCAGCGCTCAGCCGCAGGGACTCCCGACAGACGACACAAAAGTGAGGCCGCCAGTCCCCACCTGCCCACCCAACCTTCCCTTCTACCTGCCGGGATCCACCGCGGCAGCCAGACCGGACGCGCACACCCTAACGACCATCCGCTCCAGCCCCAATGCCCAGATGCCCACACAGATTCATTCAATTCCCGCCAGACTCCAAGCGTCGCATCGGCGCAACTCAAGCACCAAACCAACCAACACCCTCCCATCCCCATGCTAAAAGAAAAAAACAAAACGCACGGCCGTCCCCGCCCTTCGCTGACGACGGCTACCGCCAGCCGTCGTTGCGGCCTGCAATCCCTCTCCATCCCCCCACCGCCAAAATCCCACCCCGGCCTCCCTGCAACCTTGCATCAATCATCCAAGTCTCTTATATCTGAAGCCAGACGTGAGACCGGAAAGCTCTGCGGAGGTCGGAGTGCCACCACCCAGTTGGGCGTGGCCCACCAGCCCCATTGCGGGACCAACGCAAGTTGCTGAATGACCGCGCCGCCTCCCCCCCCTCCCCCCCCCGGCCTTCGCTTGCGCCGCGACCGCCCGAGCACCAACCCCCCTCACCGTCTCCACCCTCTCCACGCCGATCGCGCCCCCGCTCGCATCCCCCTCGTACGCGTCCAGCGCCCGTGACGCCCGCGGCCAGCACCAGGCGCCGTCTCCCGCCATGGCCGTCGCCCCCGATGCGATCAGCCGCCGAGCGGCCTTTAGGCTGCGCTTTCCTAGCGACGCGGACCGGCGCGGGCGCGCTCCGAGCGGCGCCTGCCGACGGGGGATGGCCGGTGTTGCCAGGGGGGCGCGCAAGCCCCTCATGTCGCGCTGGCCACACCGAGCGGAGTGTGGCCGGCAGCGGTATCGGGGCGGGTCGGCAGGGGCTGGCCGCCCCGGGGTTGATGAATGGGAATGGACTGTAGATGGTCGCGGCCGCGGATTGGCGCTGATGCGACAGTGACTGGTCGCCAACTCGCGCGAGGGCGCTTGTTCTGTGTATTATCATCGACCAACGCTTTTTGGTGATGGGGATTGATGGATTCCTGGACTTTGTTTGTGCCATACACGTTATACACCCGTTCAGGGGTGGTTTGACTGCGTTATCTCTGGGGATGACGGCCAGAACGGACCGCCGTCCTTTACATACAATAGATTACAGTGAGCTGATCATGGACAGTGCCTTGCTCGGGCAAAATGGGAAGCTACATCATTGCCTTATTATGTAAAAATGAGTGATGATGATGTGACTGGCCAGTGATGAATGGACGGTTGCCCTAGTATGAAGGGACATGCCTGTCAATGGTCTCTCTGCAACCGTGTTCCCTTAGCTGTGTCTCCGAGCCCGTGGGAATGCTTGCCAACTACAGTGTCCCACCCTGAACCCAGTATATCAACGAATTCGCGCGGAGGCGGCTGCAGCGTACCAGCCCTTTCGGCTGCTCGGCAGCAGCGACCGGCCCAGCGCTCACCTTCCTCTGCCGCACATGTGCATCGCGCATATTTCCTGGGGCCAACCCATTAGACTGCATGCCCTGGGTGCAATCAAGTTGGCTGCCTTCCGGAACATGCACATGACGACCCCCGCTGCCAAGCGCCAAGGGGGACTCGTGTGGCGGGCGGAGGAGCGACACAGCGCAACAAGGGGAGTGCAGGTACCATGCGCTGGTGGAGCTGTCGGTGGTGGTGTTGATCGGACTACAACATGTGATCTGTCAGCAACAGCATGTAATTTGCATGGACAAGGGACACAAACATGCGTCCCGCGTCCTTGCTGCGGTTTAGGGTTTCCAGACATGTCGACAGCTTCTAGGACTCCTGAGCAAGTCAGTCTCAAGCACCGGCCACACAGGCATATGCCTATAAGGGATTCCCTCACATGCAGCGCTTGAGCAGCATCAAAGAAGCACAACGCACGCGAATTCCCAACAGGAGGGGCACCGAGATGGAACGCCATGGGCAAGGAAGCCACAACGCCAGCTGCACCGGAGGTGCACGAGGCACGAACAGAACACACAGGCCACCAGCACCGAACTTGAAATTTTTGTCTTGATTCAAAATGGCCGGTTCGCATCCGAGTGCATACCTACAAGCACAAATCCCACAGTGTTCTTTACAGTCCTCTCGCCGATCTACCTCCAGCCGGGACCCCCGCCGCAGGTCCCACGCCCCTGCCACCCCTAACCCCGACGCTGCGAACGAAAAAGAGCCCCCCCTTGCACCATACCCAGCCACGTCCACCCCTCCCCCCTGTCCTTGGCGCCCCCAAAACACCTGGGCCAGTACTAACGCCTCCTCCACCACTACCTAATGTTAGCACCCCGTTTCTGCGTCACGTCAACGCACCGCCGCAGGGATGGGCGGCAGACAGGAATGATGTCCATCATGACCCCCCATCCCCACTCCCCTCTCCCCATGCCACTGCTAATATGCGTTCGACCATCCGAACGTCCGAATGTGGGTGCCAACATGGGGCCACCACATCCGCTGGCATCCTTATTCCCACCCCGCGACAATGGGACCGTGTCGCAATCCACCACCACCGCATGCACCACCACCACACACACGCGCGCCACTGTCACACAAATCTTACATCATCCTGAAAGACCAGCAGCAGCCACAAATGGTGCAGTATCCTGCAGATCCCCTGCTTTGGGGAGAGCCCAGTGAGGCGTCCCGACCCCGGTCCCATCATCACATCCACGTCACTTATTCATCTCGACTGACTTATGGCATTTCCACTCGCGTGTGGCTGGTGCCCCGCCCCCTCCACCCATGTGTGTCCCTGCATGTGTGTTACAGCATCCCCAAGATGGTCCTCTCCGCCAGCAGGTACCTCAGCGACACCGGGGACGTCCTGAACTCCTCGCACATCTTCCAGTTCGCCTGCCGCCCCCACATGTCTATCTTCGACAGGCTGCCCTCCGCGCTGGCCAGCCAACTGGACCGCGTCACAAACCCCTTCTGCAGCGCCCTCCCCACAGTCTCTGCCTTGGACCGGATCCCTTGGTACACCTGGGCCAGCACGGCCTCATCGCACTGCACCCTCCTCATGCCCAGCAGCAGGCTGCACTCCGTCGACTTCGTAGTGGCCTCGCTGCCAACAGACTCACCACGCCGCCTCTGCTGCCCCCCACCGCCCTCTGAAGTCCCCAGCCGCGTCTGGGACGAGTCTCCCGATCCCTGCCGCCTGCTGCCCGATTCCGAGGCACCCGGGGAGAGTGGCTGGCTGGAGGGGGCGCCGGCGCGGGAGCCTGCAGCCGAGCGGCCGCCATCGTCCGGAACGACCTGCAGCCGCTGGACGGCTTTGTCTGTTTGGTTCATGGTCTCGATGATGGTGTAGCGCTGGTCGAGGGCCAGCTGGCCGCGCAGGTCGTGGTGGAGGCATAGGAGGAGGTCGCACACCTGGGGGCATGCGCACGCGTTGAGACATGTCCCCTTTACCACAATCATGCAACTGGGCAAATATTGCATTTAAAAACATGGGAACACAATGCAAGGAGTAATACACGGAAAATATCCAATATGGGCCAGGGCAATGGAACAAATGTTAGATGTCCCATCACCACGATCATTCTAAACATGCACTTTCCTGAAACGACTTCCTGACAGACTCTCTTGACAGGCTTCCACCTTAACTGCTTGAACACATATGCACACCGTCCAGTGACAGGAGGAACAAACTGTCCCCCTCGAATGCATCGACAACTGCAAGCGTCAGCGCTGCCCCACAAGAGTATGTACAGCACTTGCTGGCATCCCAGTTCAGAACCACAAGGCAGCCGAGCAGCATCACCAACAGCTAGATGCAAAAAGTTCCATTCTTAAACTTTACATACAAACATAAAGAACATGCATTCAAACGGTGTTGTACAACCAGTACTAATGTCGAAACAAGCAGCAAGTATATTGCCAGCATTGGCCACACGCCCTTTGGCCACTGTTCGCATCCAGGTTCCCTTCATGTCACCCACAAAGACACAGACATAAATTCCCAGGCCACTGTGAGCATCTGTCAGCAGTCATGCACCCACCTCCTCTTCCACTAGCTGCTGGTCGAGCATCTCTTCCACCACTGCACCCACCAAGGGGCCAACAAGGGACCCGTCCAGGGCCCCCACCTCCAGCAGAGCACCACCTGTGATGTGAGCGATCGTCCTCAGACAGGCCTCAGAGGGGGAGTGAAATATGGCATCCCGGAAGCCAAGGGCGATGACTCGCGCGCCCGTGGACGCCAGGTGCTCGGCGGCCTCCTCCCATTTGATGCTCCCAGGCACCCCTGACAGCAGGGAAAGGACAAAACGCGATCTCAACCATCACAACAACGAACATTGCCTTTTCCATTACTCCTCTTGAGAATTGGCAGGGTTATTCACTGAACAGGACAGGGGCTCTTCCCCACCCTGCTTTCTTTTTGGGAAGGGGAAGATAGCAGCAGCCCATGTATGTCCTTCTTCAGCGGCTGGTAAAAACCTTGTGAATTGTGACTGGGACGATCTGCACTGCATGTGAGCAACACACTGTATGGCATCACTGGAAACCAATCTGCAAATCACCCCAAGGCCTCTGGAAGGCAACACGATAGGTCACCAGGCCGAAGAACAGTGCTAGTGAAGGAGACCTCCTCTAAGGACTGGTGCTCACCCAGTGGGAAATTGTCGTGGTGCTTTGCAACCCCATCACAGGCATTGAGGGCGGATACAAGCTGTGTGTCCCACTCTGTCCACAGCGCTGCTGCCCTGCCATCCCTCATGCTCTTCTCAACAGCCGTTGCCGCCTGCGCGAGGCAACAAAACTAAAACGTGGTCAAGCTCATGACCAGGTTAGCCGATCTCACAGCCAAATCCAGGTGCCAAGCTCCAGGCACAACAAACATGCAGGTTGACTCCCACACAACACATTGTTTTTATTACGTTGAGTATCTGTGTTTAGCATCATGTTCTTCCCGCACCGTGAAATGGTCAACTGAGCAGTTGTCCAGGATTGACAAGTCTCAAGCTGCCTCGGCAAAACTAGCTGACCCAGCACCCCTTGCATTCAGCACTGAAAAACGCAGGTCAAATTGCGCTTCACACACATAGCTTGACGGCATATCAAAAACAGGCAACGTACATCAATTATATCACCTTCTGCAGCAGCTCAATTGAATGAACAAAGGAAGTGGGACCAGCACGTTCCAAAACACATTGCATAAAACCACACATTCCCATCAAGCTTATCCCAGCAGATGAAACACTATTAGTTTAAATGTCTATCCAACTCTAAACAACCAATTCAATCAAGAAAATTCGTCCATTTCAAGGAAAGAGTGGACTTGCACACAGCACAGAACACAGCTGTATTCAAACCCCACCTGCAGCAGCCTCTCTCTTGCCCTCCCAAGATCGCCTTCCAGTTCAGCTGCCTGCTGCGGGCCCATCCCCTGATATCCGTGTGGTGGTGCGTCCCCAACCCAAATTACCACTCGAGTTGAGAAAGGCCACCATGTGACCCCGTCTGCGGCCTCATGCAAGGCAGCCTCAAGGGCCTCTGGATAATCGCCCCCACCACTGGCTTCTAACCTTGATATGAACTGGCATACCTGCAATGAGTCCAGCACATAGTGTGTGAATCCATTTGTTCTTGACCTTGGCAGGATTGGAAACGACATAATGGTACCTTACAGTTCCTTCTTCCTTACCATGGTTCCACCTTCTTCACCTAGAATAGGAAAGGGCACTGCTCTCTGATCCTGGAAAGATTGTGTGTTTGTCACTGGGAGTTCAGCTTAAGTGTCCTCGTCAGCTCTCAGGTACCACATCGGTCATGGAACATGGGTAGGAAAGCAAGTGGCAATAGGCAGCTGTCTGGTGGGGCAACAGCAAACCGAATGCTGGAAGGCACTCAAATGACCCAAACGATAATGGCATTTTGTGCCCCAATCCACGAGCTTTGCTCAGTGGACTTTGACGTCTGTTCAGTTGGCCTGCCAAACCACGCCAACTGTTGCCTGCGCAGTCTTCTTGCACACAAGCAGCCGCTTTGCTTTGGTACAAGGAGGGCCACAGCCACAGCCAGTGACGCCTGCATCTGCTGCAACAGGGTGCAGGGGAAAACAAAGCACCAGGCGTCAATGCCTGTTTTCTCATTTGCACTCCTATTTCAATACCTGAATAAACGTACTTGAAGGCGCAATAAATTACTTGGCTCAAGCATGCGAACTTAACAGGAAAAGGGAAAGCAAAATGGAGCAATGTTAAGGCAACCTGCATGCGGACATCCTGTGACCATCTGCTGCCACCCACCTTCTCTATGTCCTCCGTGAAATCCAACTTGGTCAGCACCTGTGGCTGGTCGTCCTCTGGCCAGTGGTCCCTGTATGCCAGCACCCCCCAGCGTGCCCTCTTGCACAGCACTGCCCCTGCCAACGCGTTGGCCACCTCGATCACCACCCTCGGCAGCTCAGCGAGCTCGGCTGCCATGCTGGCCGTGGCATCCACCACAAACAGAATGTCCGCAGTGCCGATGTGGGGGTGATTGTGGGCGTAGGCCAGGCGCTCCGCATCATAGGAGGCGGAGTGGCACGGGGGGAAGTCGGGGTCGGGGCACAGGCCCATGGGGTGGAGGGGGATGGAGGGCAGGGAGGCGTGGGGGTAGAAAGGGCCCTCGTGCGAGATGCCGCTACCCAGCTGGGCAGCAGGTACGGTCTGTGGCAAACAAGACAGGGAGGAATGTCAACACAAGCGGGGGTCAGTACTTTGCTTTTCCAAGCATGTCATTAGAAATTGCAGGTACAACGCATATTTTGGCTTGCACATATTTTCCAATATATTTTCCATCATTAGTTGCATGTTTTCCCCACCTACACATTTTCTTTGTCAGTGCTTCATTCTCAGGCAGAAAAGCCTGAAAATGCACTCCAGCTCTTGTGTGTTCTGAGCACTGTGGGGTGTACAATGTTCACAGGGAAGGAGGGGAGACCAAGAGGTCACCAAGCATTGTGCACAACTTCAACAAGAAGCATTGAGGAGAACGTCTCCAAGCACCAAAGCCACAGTCAAACCTCTCAAATCACTGGCACTCCAATGTGTGGAAAAGGATTGGCTGACCTCTATCACATGCGATCGCGTACGTGCAAACATGCACATGTCCAGAGCGGCACATGCCACAGCACAAAACATGCATACAGCACATGCACCTGTCTAAACAATGGACATTGTGTGCATGTACACAAAGTGTTCATCTCATTTACATGCAAGCATACATTCCTCTATGCAACAAGTCCTGCACAGCAGGCCAACCAGCCCACTGCCGGCCCGTTAACCTACCTTGATGACCGCTGGGCTTCCCTGCACATGGCGGCCTCCAATCTTCACACTAACCTGATACTGCCCGATGCCCATCAGGTGGCCTGAGATGAGGTACCTGCCATCCCCAAGATCATTCACGGGCAGGCTCACCGAGCTGGCCATGCCAAACAGCCCCTCTCGGCTCCTGGCCGCTGTGCCCACAGCCTGCTCCCCACCCTGCTGGGCCAGCAGCTGCTCCAGAGCTGCGTTCCTGATCGAGTCCACAGATGACTCTGGGTACCCGGGGTTGGGGTGGCGCGCCCTGGGCGTCGGACCCTCCTGCGACTCCCCACCTGTGCTGACCGGTTCCTTGGAGTCCCCACTGCCCTCATGACGCCGCGTGCCGCCCCTCGCCAGGCCAGCGTTCAAACTCACAGGGTCCTTCAGCACGTGGCCAGGGACCTCCTCCTGTACCTTTGCAGGCACCGCTGTGCGGCGCTCACGCTGCCTGGCTGAGCCATCCGCCCTGGCGTAAGCCGCTCCAACACCCGCCACCCCTCCTGCCTGCCTATCCCTATACTGCACACCGTCTACAAACTCATCTTCTAACACACCCTCCTGGTCCAACTCGTCGATGCTGCCCCCCATTTCGTCCGCATCCAGCTCGACGTCCGCCGTGGGATTGTCCTCGTAAGGCAGCTCCCGAATCACTCTTGCATTTGCCCCCTCTTTGGAACCGAAAGACTTCCCCGCACAGATCCTTGCCGCGTCCGGCCGCATGCAGTCTGCCGCTGGCCACAGCCGCCTCATCCCCACGATGAGCTTCGACAGCCTCTTGAAAGACTTCTTCCTCTTTTCCCTGCCCTCCTCCTCGAAGCCCCCCAAGGTCCCGTGGATGCCCAGCATCGCCAGCTCGCCCTGTGTCAGACCTGCCCCCTTCTTCGCCCGGCTGCCCCTCGAACCTGTCCCGACCGCCTCGCCCCTTGAGGACGATCCGCTCAACGCGTCACTGGGGTCCACCCCCCGAGCGCTCCCCCTGCCGTGCTGGGCAGACGCTGGCTGCGCCTGTGACAGGCTCAGGCTCCTCATGATGCCCCCCTGGCTCTGGGACGAGCTCACTGGTGACACCCGCACGTCGTGGCCATCCGTGGACCCCGCCATGAACATCTTGTCGTCCTCGTCCACCTCTTCCTCCTCCTCCAAGGTGGGCAGGTCCTCGGACCTGGAGCACCACTGGGGGTCTTCTTCGTCTGGAGCAGGGTGCAGCTCGGCCACTGCATGCTCTGGCCGGTTGGGGTCTGGGTAGCTCAGCCCCCACACCCACAGCGCAGCCCTGGACATGGACGGCTGTGTTGCGGTTGATGGCTCGCTGATCGTCGCCTCTGCCTGCTTATCCGTCAGGAAAGGCGTGTCCGTCATCGGCACATCGGGCAGCAGCATGGGCTGGCGCTTTAGCTGGGCCTCAAGCTTCCCACTGTCACTCCTGAGGAACGCACTCAAGTCCGCTGTCTCCAGCTCTTCTGCACTGCCCTGGCTCGATGAGCTGCTGAACAGGGGAGTGCACTCGTTCAGGCCTGCCGGTGCTGACAGGATCAGACGCTTGTTCTCTTTGTGCCTCTCCGAATCATCGTCGACTTTTTTGGACTCTAGCTGAGCGTCGGTCCCCGGGGGCCAGCCTGTCTGCGTCAGCGACAAGGATGAGCCGCCGCTGCTGGTGCCTTCAGGCCTGGCGTTGCCAGAGTCATAGCCCTGGCTTGCGGGCCCAAAGTCCCCCACACCCCTGGTTCCCTGTGGACGGCCTCCACGCTCGTCATAGGCCGACCCATGGGGGGAGGGCAAGGAGGAGGAGCGGCCATAGCCGACAGCCCCTTTGCCCCGGGACTCGCTCCCCTCCGCGCCTTTCTGGTAGCCAGTTGAGGGGCTGTCGGACCTGTCTGCGGGGCCTTTGGAGCCCTGGCCGTCAGGCTGTGGCTGGTTGGCAGACGACACGGGCGGAAGGACCTGCAAAATCAGGGCAGTTTCAGCACACCTGCACAAGTGGCAGCTTGGGCTTGCACTTTCTATATTCGCGCACATATTTAGGAATGCGTTTGCCTTCTGTTGAGACTGATGCACCTGCCCAATTGCTAACAAGCTACACCAAGCAACAGCACCTCAAACTTACATGCCGCTGTCTGGAATCTGAACAAAACTGCACAAGCTCCATAAAAGACATCAGGCACCAGCGGTACTGAATCTACCAGTCCCTCCTGACATGCAAGACAGGCAACATCACCTTCAGCTTGGGCAGCTCTGGTGGATCTGAGCTGGAGGTCGAGATGCACGACGCCTCTGCTGATATGTTCGCCCTTGCACCTATGCAAGGCCGGCCGGGGCCCATGAAGGTGTGCACGCTGAAGGCAAACGGCAAGTCGCATGCTGCTGATTGCAGGGCGCGTCCCGCCACCCAGCAGTGCGAGGGTTCAACGTGCCCATCCTGCAGTGGCAAAAGCAATACACTGTCAGGTGGAAGGTGATCACTTGCGGCAAGGCGAAACCATGCTGGTATGTGCTTACAACAAAGAATTTACCCCACCTGTCTCACCCTACAGCTGTGCCGATCACAAACACTGGGAGGTGGGCAGGGCAGGGTCGAAGGGTAATTATGCATGGGTTTGTTCTGCCTTAGGGCAACAGCAAGCCTGCTGGAACGAGGGTCAAGGCTTTGGGTGGTTGGGTGGGTGGGCTGGGGGGGCTTGAGCGTGCTAGAGGCACGGGAGGGAAGGAAGTGCTCTAGAAAGGCTGGGGTGCCAGCGCATGGATAGGACACTGCATGCAAGGCAAGGCTGGTTGCCTTTCTTTTCCGGAGGAGTGAATTCTGCAAGGAAATACCCGCCCACGTCGACATCTAGGTGCATTTTCCGCCGCTTGGATGCATCCACCGCGACCTCAAGGGCGCAAGGCAACACTGCGGCGGCGCCCGATTCGCCCCATGGCCAAGGTCGGCCTCGGCAGGCCGAGGTGCGGCCCCTATCAACTTTCCTCCCACACCGGCCACGGCACAAATGTCGGCGCTCCTGAACCGACGCCCGGCCGCCGATGTTTGCGCGCTGGTCGCCGCACACCGCCCACTCTCGCGACAAGCGCCGGGGTCGCCGCGACCACGTGAGTCCGTCGGACCGACTTCCACTCGTCGACACCGTCCCACACCTCCTCGACGTCCGCTCACGTCAATCAACGTCACAGCCGGCGCAGCACCCCGCCAGCGCGAGTGCCAATCTCACGGAGAGGGGGCGCCTCAGCACCACCGAGGCCTCAAGAAGCCGAAGCAACCGAAGTCCCATCGGCGCCAGTACATTGCGCACCAAGGCGCCTTCGTCAACGCGGGCGCACCACCACGCGGCACCTTCTCAGTCCAGCTCCAGGGGCGCCGCTGACCCCCGCAGGCCACCGCAAGGCGCAGCGCACTTTTGCAGCGCATCATCAAATCCGCGCAGCCCGCCTCTGAGGCGCGTTCGCGGCACCCCGCGCACTCCGCCATTTATCGGCATTGGCCAGCCCCGAAACGAATTTGTGAACCCCGCCCACCCACCTGGTGTTCCACGACGACGCCCACCAGGTCCCACAGCTCGCACGCCGTGGTCTGGCATCCGTCCGCCCAGAGCGCTGCCACGGCGTCCCGGATGCCGGCGGCCGCCTGCGTCAGTCTCCTGTAGCGGGCGCCGGTGAGGCCGGCCTGGCGGGCCTTGGCGGCGCGCTTGGCGTCCGGCCACGTAAGAAACGGCGACAGGAAGGCGAGGATGCGGGCGGGGGGATCGATCGGAGAAGGGCGCTGGTAGGCGCTCTGGGAGATCCAAGGAAGCCTGCGGCGGGGTGGGTTGGGGTGGGGGATCAGAACGTTGGACGCAAGAAGCCGAGAGGCCGGGGGAAAAACGGGCGGGGGTTGGAGCCGAAACGGCCGGTCGCCGGGAAGGCGTCGGCGGAGGGGCGGTCGGTCAGCAGCGCGTCGCATGGACGCGGACGCGCGGCGCGACCATCGCAAAGCCGAGGTGCCCATCGTGCGCCAACGCAACGAAAACAAGGCAAAACGCAAGGCCAAACTCTATCCGAGCAGTCGACCGCCAGGTCGCAACGCGGCCGCAACGCGTCGCGGACGCAATCAACCGTTCCCCGCCCCGCCCCGACAAAATCGCCCAGCGCAGAACCGCGCCTCACCTGTGCAGACCGTGCGCGGGTGGCGCGCTCTCCAGCTGCTGGATCCCGGCGGGCGGGGCGCCCGGCCAGGCGCTCCCCGGCCCCACCGGCGGCAGGCCCTGGTACGGCATCGGCCGCCCCAGCGTGTGGCCCATCAGCCCCGGCACCGCCATCCCGCCGACGTACGGTCCCTGCGGCCCGGGGTACCGCCCCCACTCCCCAGCAACGCTGCCATCCCTGCTGCCCCTGAAGTCCTGGCTGCCGCCCCTAAAGTCCACGCTGCCGCCCCTGAAGTCCACGCTGCCGCCCCTGAAGTCCACGCTGCCGCCCCTGAAATCCTGGCTCCCCGCGTAGGCCACGCTTCCGGAGCTGTAGTCCCTGTGGTGCGGGTTGCCAGCAAGCTGGCCGCCCATCAGCGCGCCGTAGGCCGCAGGGTCCATCATCCCCGGCGGCAAGCCCATCGGCAGGCCAGGCCCGCCCCAGCCGGGGTACCTGCCCACCTCTGGGCCTGGGTAGGGCCCGCCCCCGTACCCCGGGCCCCATCCACCCGCGTAGGCACCGCCGTAGACCCCGCCGGGATGCGCAAACCCGCCGGGGCCGGCCAGGCCGTGCTCGCCGCCCTGCCAGCCCGCGCCCGCCTCCTGCCCCGCCGGCG